GCCCAGTCCCCTCAGGCTCTCCTCAGCCCGTGCGCCGGCCCCGAGCCGTTTCCGTTGCCCTCCGCTGGGCTCTTTCCCGCTTTTTCACAGCTTTTCTTAGTGGGGCCCAGTGGTGGCACTTCTAGACACGCAGGCTGCTGGCATCCCCCATTGATGGGAGGGATCGCCCTCTCCTTCGTGGGCCGCTCTCTTCCTCCGGCAGCGAGTCCGGTGGGACATGTAATCACCAGCTTCTGCGGCTGAGTGCTCTCTAGCTGAGGGAGGAGAGGCATTACTGCACTTCTACACTCACAGGACTTGGCCGGATGGAGGGCTTGTGCATCAGCTGAGGTCCGCGTGGCCCTCCTCCACTTTCCTTAATTGCTCTGTGGTAGCTGGCTGGGATTGATGTTTTAAGGGTGATGGAGTAGATTTACTTCATCTTTCTTGCATTACTTGGTAAAGGAAACTTACTGGAAGCAGTGGGATGAAAAGGCTGAGAGAAGAGACGGTCTCAGGTTGGCTCATCTGTCCTCTCTCACCCCAGGCATCGCTCGGGTAGATGGAAGAGACACAAAGTTTGGCTTAAATTCCTGGTCAGACCCTTCTCTCCGTTCATACAAGCCCTGGCCAATACAGACACTGGAAAAAAATAGCCAAGGTATTCAAGGTGACCTGAGGAAGGGCAACTGATGCCCAAAAGCTTGTCCAACAGCTCTTCCAACTATACAGTCAGTCTGATAAAAACTATTGCAACAAGCCTGGCCTTTTGACATTTCTTAGACCGTCATGGCTACAACAACATGCCAACCTGGACATTGCAACATCCAGGGCATTAATTAGGATACTCGGGCAGTCAAGAGGTTGTCATCCCTGGCAGATGTATATTATGGAGACACAGGAGACTTCTGGGCCTTGGCTGAGTGGCACTGAGTTAGCTGATTCGCCTGAGAAGATCTCAGGCAGGCAACAACCGTAGCAAGGTGGGACAGCTGAGCCCAAGATGTCGCACCACCAGCCTCTTTTAATGGACAGCCTCATGCCCCATTACTATGGTCTCAGGGGAGATCTGCAAGCCCAGACATCAGTCTGAGTAGCCCTGTGCTAATTAAACATGGTTTGTTAGGAGACTGCTAACCCAACCCACATTTGAGATGGTCTCTCCTGATAATACTTTTTGTTGTATTTGGCTGGGGAAGGACAATGTGGGGAAAATGTACCTTTAAGAGGCTCTCAAGCTAGCTGGCACTGCTAACGGTGTTGCACAGAGGCTTATGTTACAAAAGGCCAATTATCTAGAACTCAGACACCAAAATGAAGCAAATCCCTGGCTCGGAGCAATTACTGGCACGAGAGAGATGTCAGGGAAAGGCTTTGCTTTTACAGCCAGTTTCCAGCCTCTGAGAAATCCAGCACTTTGATTAACAGACAGATCTCTGGGAAAAGATGCCAAAAGCATCTTTGAAACAGATGCTCTGCTCCATCACTCCCAAATCCCTTCCCTGTGGCCTTCATCCCTTGCCTGCTCTCTTTTTAGCCTATATATTTTGGGGGCACAAGCTGCCTCTTCCTGCACATTTCTACTGGACTTAACGTGATGGAGATCCCCTCCTGTTGGATGCTACTGCAACACAGACAATGTGAATGTGCTTTGGCTGCTGAGGAGATCATCACAGAGGAGTGAAAGGCCACACACAATCTCTAGCAGTCTTGGACAGGTTCAGGCATCTTCACCATTTGCTAATCTCCAGACCAGGCTGCCTACATTGAAGTACTTACTGCTAATCAGTCCAACTGCCCCCTAGTCAGACCTTTCTCTCCTCCTTCTATAAGTGCCCTGGCCACCACAGATTGAGGAACAGAATAAAAAATCTGCCAAGACATTTAAACTCAAGAGGGTAAATACAATCCTAC